TGTGTGTGTGTGTGTGTGTGTGTGTGTGTGTGTGTGTCCCAGCGTCCCCCGGGGGTGGGTGCGTGGATCTGCGCCCCCCCCCCCCCCCGCCCCGCCCCACCCTGCCCCAGGAGACCCAGGACCTGCCTGAACTGGGGATGGGAAGGAACTGGGGCGGGGGGGTGTGTGTGTGTGTGTGTTCCTGTGGGGGTGCCGGGGGGGGGGGGGTGTCCCTGGGGAGGGGGGGGCTGTCGCTTACAGGAAGCCTCATTGTAGTAGACGCTGATGCGCTCCAGCTGCAGGTCGGAGTCGCCCACGTAGTTGCCGCTGGGGTCGATGCCGTGCTCGTCGCTGATCACCTCCCAAAACTGGGCGGGGGGGGGGCACAGAGCTCAGCGGGACCCACATACACAAAAAAACACCCCCCACCCCCCCCCCAAAAAAAAAAAAAAAATCCACCCCACCCCCCCCCCAAGGGCGGGGCGGGCGCTGTCCGCGGTGCTGAAGGGGCGGACAAAGGCGGGGGGGGGGGGGGGGCGGGGCCCTTTGTCTGCCCGGTGCGGCGGGTGGAGGGAGGGGAGGGGGGGGGGGAAAGGGGGGGGGGGGGGTGTTGGGGTCTTTGTCCGCCGCTCGGCTCCGCAGCGGCGGGGCGGGGCGCGGGACGGGATGGGACGACCCCCCCCCCCCCCAACTCCCCGTTCCGCCGTTACCTTGGCTCCGATCTGGTTGCCGCATTGCCCCGCCTGGATGTGGACGATCTCCCTCATGGTGCTGCCGGAGCGGGAGGAGGAGGAGGAGGAGGAGGAGGAGGAAGAGGAGGAGGAGGAGGAACGGGAGCAGGACCGGCACCGGGAGCGCGGGGGGCGGCCCCGCCGCCGCCGCTTTCTTTTATAGGCGCCTCGCGCCGCACCGGGCCGGGCGCTGACGTCACCGCCCCCCCCCCCCACCTCCGCAACCAATCGGCGGCCGCCGCCGCAACGCTGCGGCACCGCCCGCCCCGCCCCCGCCCCGCCGGCCCGGGGACCCCCGGGTGGGGACGGGAGGGAACCCCACCACCCCCCCCCCCCCGTGCCCCGGTACGCGGGGGGACCCCGGTACCCCCGGGATGGAGGAGGGAGGGGGGGGGGGGAGGCGAGGGCAGGGGCCACGCGTCACGGCGGGAGCATCCCGGGGCGGCGCGGGGCGGGGGGGACACAGACACACAGAGAGACACGACACCCCCCAACCCGCGCCACGGCGTGGGGGGAAGGGACAGGGCACGGGGGGGATCCCGGGGGACGGGATACACACACACACCCCCCCCCCGCCACCCTCCCACGGGGCCGGGGCGGGCGCGGCCCGAGAACAAAGGCGGCGGCGGGACCCTTTGTCCGGGGGCGGCCGTGACTGTGTGTGTCGTCCCCCCCCTCCCGAGCTCCCGTGGGGACCTGCCCCCCGCCGCCCCACGCCCGGGGCGGCTCCAACACCCCACCGGTCCCTCCCAGTCCCCGGCCTGACGACGGCAACCGGGGGAGCTTCGAATGAACGGTGGGGCCGGGAAGGGTCGACACACCCCACACACACCCCCCCACACACCCCCCCCCCAAACCCCACACTGGGGGTCCCCGGGGGCTGCACGGCCACAGCATCACTGCAAAGAGCCTTTATTGGGTACCGCGAGCCCGTTCAGCCCGGATCGGGGCGCCGGAGGGGGGACACCCCGCGGCGTATCCCGCCCGACCGTCCATCTGTCCGTCCGTCCCGCGGCGGGGGGGGTGTGGGGGGGAAGTGGGGGGAGTGGGGGGCGACCGTGGCGTTAACCCGCGTCCCGCTGCCTACCAGGAGCACAGCACCACCTCCCGCAGTGTCCGCCGGAGCTCCTGGCTCCGGAAGGCGTAGATGAGGGGGTCGATGACCGAGTTGCAGATGATGAGGATGTGGAAGAGGTTGAAGTAACTGAAGAAGCAGGTGCAGAAGGGGTTGGTGGGGCAGGTGACGATGAGGATGAGGTGGAAGAAGAAGGGCCCCCAGCAGATGAAGAAGACGCCCAGGAGGATGGTGAGGGTGACGGCTCCCTTCAGGCTGCTGCTGCGGTAGACGGTGGGCTGCTTCTGCTGGCTGGAGATGCTGCGGAGGTGGTGGCGGGCCAGGGCGAACATGTGGATGTAGAGCACCAGCATGAGGACCAGCATGAAGAGGAAGAAGCCGATGAGGCAGAGGAGGATGGCGTTGTTGCGGTAGTAGGTGATGAAGACGGTGCTGGAGACGGTGCTGGCCAGCCAGACGCTGGCCATGGTCACCACGGCCCGTTGCAGCGTCATGATGCTGTGGTAGCGCAGGGCGTAGAAGATGGTGATGTAGCGGTCCACGGCGATGACCCCCAGGAAGGAGAGGGAGGACACGACGGAGCTGCAGATGAGCAGGTCGATGACGTTGTCCATGCGGCGGACGACGCTGGCGCGGGCCACCAGCACGCCGTGCTCCAGCAGCAGCAGGAAGAGCGTCTCCGCCAGGTTGCTGACGCTCACCAGCGTGTCGGAGACGGCCAGGCAGCAGATGAAGTAGTACGTGGGCGAGTGCAGGTTCCTGTTCTTCGAGACGGCAGCCACCACCAGCAGGTTCTCCACCAGGCTCACCAGCCCCAGCGCGAGGAAGAGCCCGTTGGGGATGTCGAGCCCTTGGCACCAGGCGCTGCCGACGCCGGCCGTGGCGTTGCTCTGGCTGCCCTCGCTGGCGTTCCAGGGCTCGCGCAGCAGGCGCAGGGGGGCCAGCGTCGACATGGCCCCCGCCTCAACCCCGGGGTCCCCCCGCTTGGGGGACGAGCCCCTGGGGCCGCCCCCCACAGCGCCTGCCGGGACCCCCCGAGCCCCCGCCCTGCCCCGCCAGCGCTCCCGCGGCGCCCGGCGACGAGGCCGAGGGGACGCGGAGGAATTGATGGGGATGGAGGTGGGGTGGTGGTGGACGGGGGGGAGGGGGGGGGGGTTGGGGGTGTCCTGCTGGCGGGGGACGTGCCGGGGGGATGCCGCGCTCCTGCCGGGACCCCCGGTGTCGCGGCCGCCCTCCTCGCCAGCCCTGCCCGGCGTCCCTGCAGCCGCGCGCCCGCCGGCCCAGGGGGATGGGGAAGAAAGGGCCCTTTCTCTGCCCCACTTTAAAGCCGGCTCCCACGGCTCCTCCTCCCGAGGAGGGTGGGCACCCGCATGACGGCGGCACCCCGGCGGTGAGGGGAGCCGCTGCCGAAGCCGCCGGACCCCCGGCGCATCCCCGGGGAGCCCGACCGCTCGGGGCCACCAAAGGCCCGGGGGTCCCACGCGCCGTGGGAGGGGCCTGCGCACCCCCCGGGGCCGTGCACTTTGGGGGGGGGCCGCGTGTGTCATCGGGGTCCCCGAGCGTCCTGGAGCCCTGCGCGTGCTGGGAGGGGGGGGATCCCCGCACCCTGGGGGACTGCGTGCCTTGGGGGGGGCCCCACAGGCCTGTGCGCGCTGATGGGGGGGGGGTTGTTCACACACCCCAGGGTGTCCAGGCACCTCGGGGACCCTCCGTGGGACCTTCCCCACTGCAGGAGCCAAGCCGTACCCCTCCCCGCTCCCCTCGGGAGGTGTTTTGCCACGGGGTGAGCGATGGGTCCCACAGGGATCGCGTCAAAGGCGCCATTAAAGGCGATGCCGCGCCCCGGCAAAGCCCGGCGCCGGAGGGAGCCCGGGGAGGGGACACGGGACCCATCTGACCATCATGTGCCTTTGGTCGGTGTTGACGCCTGGAGCCGCTCGGCTGCCAAAGAGCTATTCAGGGCTGCGTGACCCCGCGGCCGTTCCCACCGGCCCGCTTCCGCTCCTGCCCGTGGGGCACCAGGAGCCCTTTCCCCGCGGCACCGGGCAGCCGGCGGCTCCGGCGCGGTTGGAAGCGGCGGCTCGGCTGGACGGGCTGGGAACGGGGGTCCCAGGCTGCCGCGGGGCCTCGCGCTCGACCCCGGCGCCGGCACGGCAAGGGAGCTCGGGCTAACGCGTGCCGCCCGGCAAGCCGAAGCCGTCGCCGGGCGAAGAGCGGCAAAACATCCCTCATCCCCGGGGAAACGCGGGCAGGAGGAATCCAGGATAACAACCCCACTGGCTTTCCCCCCAGCCCCCCACCTCGGCCCCTCCCCAGCTCCTTTCCCGGCTGCTGCTCGGCTAAAAAGCGCGCCGGTACGTGCCGTGAATTTTTAGCTTTATCATCAGAGGCTTTGAGAGCCGAGCTAGAAAACGCCGAGTCTGCAACTCCGAGCAGGCCCCGGGGAAGCGGACGGGGCTCCTGTGGGATTGGGATGTGCCGGCGGGGCTGGAGCCCCCCCCCGGGGTCTGCGCTGCCAACCTGCCCCGGCCCCATCCCCTGGGGAGGGGAGGCAGCAAAACGCTGCGGAAGAAAAGGAAGGAGAGGCAGGGGGGTGGGGGGAAAGGGTTTATTCCGGGCAGCGCGGCCTGGCTCAGCGTTAGAGCCGTATATCCACCGTTACGCAGCAGAAAAGGGAAAAAGCTTTGTGGGCAGCAGGGATGAGTTCAGGGTTTGAGCGCAGCTGACCTCATTCCTGGCTCTACAAGGTGACGGTGGGGAAAATGAGGGAGGGAGGGAGAAAACAAAGAAGGGGGGGGGGGGGGGGGGCGGGCAGGAATCCTTTTGGCTCCCAGCACAAGGAAGAGCCACTCCCCACGCACGTCTGGGAGCGCAGGGAGAGCGGTGGCTCCCAGGGGCCGTGCTGGAGCGGGGACCCCCAGGCTTTCGGTAGCAGGAGTCAGGGCCTGGTGGGCTTCGGGGTGTGGGGGGGGAAGGAGCAGCTGGAGGGCAAAAAAAAACCCCCCTCCAGCCATGAAACATGAGATCAGGAGAGTGGGCAGGGGCTACGGGAGAGCAAACGCCGGGCAGAGGGGCACTGACTCGGAGCCGAGGGCCAGCTGCTGTCAAAGAGCTCTGCCCAACCCTCCCACCAAAAGATGCGAAAGGCACCCAGGGTGGCAGCCCCCCCGCCCCAGCCGAAGCCCACCCCCCCCCCGGCAGCGAGAGCGGGGGCCTGGGGTTTGTGTGACTTTATTGGAGCGCGACGCGAGGCGGGGAGGGGCGATTACAGAAAGTTGGGGGGCAAGGAGGGGGAGAGGCGCGCTCCCGGCTCAGTCCCAGTCCCCGTCGCCTTCGGGATTGTCGTCTCGGGGGGGCTCCTGGAACTGGATGTTGGCCAGCATGTCCCGCATGGCCGCCATGAGCCTGTTCACCCCCTGGTTAAGGTCCTGCCCTGCTCCAGCCTCTTCCTCCCCGTCGTGCCTGATGTCCCCCTGCAAGAGAGCGGAGCGGGCGGGCAGGGAGCTGCCTGCAGCAGGCAGGGAAGCGAGACAACGCCGCTTGCCAAAAAAGCATCAGGGCTGCTCTGCAACCTGACGTTGACGCACTGCATCTGCCAGGAGCCACTCCCTTTGCAGAAACACGGTGCGGCGGAAACTTCTGCGTCCCGACCGACCGGCAGAAGCGCGCTGCGAGCTGCCTGCGGCGGCTGCCTGCACCTACCTGCAAGTTGAAATTCGGCAACAGCGAGCGGAAGAAGAGAGATAAAGTGCTTTCGTGGGATGGGTGATTCGTTCTGAAAGACACAAGTCGCACCACGGTTGAGGGGTGGGGGGGGCTTGGCTCTCGACCTCTCGCTGGGGGCTGAGGCGGCGCGGAGGTGCCGGAGAGAACCACGGCCCCTCCTGAGCCAGCCCTGAAGGTGGGGATTTGGGGGGGATTTGTGAGCGCAGGCAGCCAGCAGCTTGGCCAGCCTCGGGGCAAAGCGGTGGTTAAAAGCACAACCGGGTTTGCCCCGAGCTGGGTCGGCGCGTGGGAGACACGTAGGGGCTTCACCTCCGCGGTCTGCGCGCGCCACGGCCGGCTGCGCTTCAGCCTCTGTTGACCCCAAACCACCTCAGTCCGGAAGTTTTTCAGCCGCCTTTGCCTTAACGGCTGCGAACAGCCGCCGTCTCCGACGGTGACCACCAAGGGAAAGCGGCAGGACCAGTCCTGCCTGCCCGCCGGCGAGCACCACGAGCCGGGCTGCTCTTCCCCCGAGATGGAGGAGGGCATCGGCGCCGAGCACCCGCGTGCGCCCAGGCCCGGGGCTGAGGGCGCGCCGGCAACACTGTGCCAGCGCCGAAACGAGGAGCTGGAGAAGGTACCTTTCAGGTCTGGTGTAGGAAACGATGGAGTCCAGAGGAGGTAAGGGGTCGAACCCCATCACGGGCTGCGAGGTCACCTCCTGCAGTTGGGTGGGGGGAAGAAGAAAGAAGGGGTGAAGGCTGCGCCGCCGGCAGCAGCAAACGCCGAGGCGTGGGGATGGTGGGCGGGCAGCCCTTCGTGTCGGGGAGCTGCAGCCCAGCCTGCCCGCACGCGCCCGAGTGCCGCCCCGGGAAGCCGTGGGCACGGGGAGGAGGCTCCGAGGCCAGGCGGGTGCTTCTTGGTGGTGGTGGTGGTGGTGGGGAGATTTTAGGACGTGCCCAGCGCCCCGCCTGCGCATCGGGGATGCGAGTGCCATCACGCCGCGCGTCCCCCTCACCAGAGGCAGAGCTGCCGTGGCCTCCTTCATCTCCGAGAGGATGACGTGCCGGTAGATATTCCTGGGTGCGCTCTGGTACCGTATCTTCCTCCTAAAGCGGGGAGGAGGAGGAGGAGGGACGACACAGGGGATCGCACCGAGCGCGCCTCAGCACCGCCCGCCTTCCAATTCTGCTCCTCGAGGCGCGTCGCCAGCGTCCTCCTCCCCGGCGCAGGGGGGACGCGCCGTATCGGGTGGAGCCGGCCAAAGGCGAAGCCAAAGTCGCTCGGGCAGCTGCTGACCCCCCGGCGAAAGAGCAGAGCAGCTCAGCGACGCCGTTTACAGATCTCTCTCTCTCTCGCTGGCCCCGACCCCGCAGAGCAAACCGATTTTGGTTCAGGGCAAAGACCTGACGCCTCTCTCTGCCGCTCCTCAGAGCTGGGAAGCGTCTCTGAGCGCCGGCTGCCCGGCACGGCGAGCGCCCGTGAAGCCGTGCAGCCATCCCCGCCCCCGGCAGCCAGCAGCAACCCCTCCGCCCCCAGGGCACAGGCCAGGGCCGAGGCCGGGGGGGCAGCCAGCACAGCACCCCGCTCCCCAGCGAGCGAAGCTACGGCCCTTCCCTCACAAAGCAAGGGAAGAGCCTCTGCCTTCGCGGCACCGCCGGCACCAGCAGCCACTGAGCCGGCGCCGCGGCCCGGGACAGAGCTCCTCCTCTCCCCCGCAGAGCCCCCCGGCCCCGCGTTTCGTCACCCGTACGAGAGCCGCCGGCCTTCCGCCCGCCGCACTCACTTGTGCTCAGAGTCCTCCACCAGCGGGTCCCGGGCATCCACCATGCACAGCACCTCGCGGACGTTGGTCTCCAGCCAAGCCACGACGGCCGGCTCCTTCCACAGGGAGTGAGTCCTTCCCACGTAGAGGGACATCAGCTGGTTCAAGGCGGGAGGCTGGCTACGGGAGACAGCTGTTACTCAGGGCACTTCCCCTCCTTCCCGCCCGCAGGTCCCTGTGCGGGCCGGCAAGGGCTCGCCTCTGCTCTGCCCTTCGGTGTGAGAACACAAAGAGGAGGAATCGCAGGCTCCCCGCTTTGCTGTTTCCACCTAACTTCATCCAGTTTTTCTGCCTCTGTCTATTCCTGGGATACGCGTCGCCATGAGATGAAAGGGAACGCTGCCTTGACCCGAGGGGCGGGGGGGAAGAGCACCGGTGTGTTTAGGAGGACCACGTGGCAGGGAAATCCAGACTGGTAGGAGACAGCCTGCCCCGAGAGCACACACGCACGGTGCTCCCTCTTACTACACGTACCGACAAGCTTCGGTGTGAACTTCTGACCCATCTGCATTAAGGTGAGGAGGGCCTATCAGCGTTATCTGGTGGCCATTATGGAAATCCATTATCAAAGCATCTAACAGCCTACTCAGGAAAACCAAACACTCTCCTCCGCAGCTTTGTAACTCCATCGGTTGCCTGAGCAAGCAAAAGCCCCGCTACCGGCAAAAATCGATTCCTTCTCTTTACTGAGAACGTCTCCAGGGCTTACCTTATCTGAGCATTCAGCCCGAAAAAGGGATGGGACGCGACCGCGGCATCGGGCTGCACGCTGCAGTGATCCAACAGCGGCATGAGAACTGCAGGAGAAAGCCAGACAGGTCGCTGCCAGCGGCCCAGCGAGGAGCACCCGCGGGGCAGCCGGTCACCGCGGCCAGGGCTGCAGAGAGACAGCCCCATCCTGGGGGGGGGGGGGGGGCCCAGCACCCCGCCGGCGTGTGCTGGATGAGGACCCACTCCAGGAGGGGGCGAGGATGCTGCTGGGGGGGGGGGTGGGTGCTGCGTTTTGATCTCTGTGGGAGCGTTGGAAAGAGATCCAGAGTAAAGGAAACCCAAACTTTCTCCCTCCCCCACCCCTGCCCCTCCCCGTGAAATAAGGTGCAATTTTCTGCACTTTAACGCTGCTGGCCTTTGAACTGGAACAAGGGGTTTGTTTCAGTCACCACGACAAGCAGCAGAAACGATGGTTCCTGCCAACACAAACTAAACCTCTGTTTGAGAGCTGGTTATTCCTGCCCCTAGAGACACGCCCTCCTCTGGGCCCAGAGGGGCTGTGTATCTCCTTTCATGGACCGCAGCACCAACGGGATGAAAGCAGGAGTGCTGGGAGCCCAGAGAGAGCACATCTAAAGCGGAGCAGTGCCTCGGAGGGAAAGCCAAGAGAGACTCGCTGTCTCTGGTCCGAGCAACCCTGCGGTGAAACATTTTCCTGCTCCAAGACTCCGGTTTCCTCCTCCTCCCCCAACTCGCCCGCCCGTGACCGTCTCTCATGATGGGGCACATCAGCTGCGCAGCGGGGAGAGGAGCCGCTCAGCTCCCCCTGACACCGGGAGGGCTCCCGGCCGCGGGGTGGGGAGGGCTGGATCCCACCGCCGCCCCGGACGGGAGGTACGGCACGGCAGGACCTGCCGCTGCGCCCCAGCGGCCTCACCCTCTGAGCCAGGGCTCCCATCTCCCACCGACGGAGGCGAACGCCGTTTGCAACCCACGGGCAAACTGCTGCCTCGGCCTCTGAACGCGGCCCTCGCTCTCACGGGTGAAGACGGCGACAAAGCCTGCGGGGACGGACTTACCGGTGGGGACAGACTTACCGCTTGGGAACATGATCAACGCGAGCTGGATGAGCCGGGCTGCTTTCTCCCGGGCTTGGCTTATCTCCAGCTCCGAGCGCTCCTCCTGCTGGCTCAGGAAGAAATAGGCCAGCGGCACCGAGAAGGCAAAATTAGGCAGCTGGGACAAATTCCGGTGACTCTGCAGGATCGGAGAGAGATTTACCGAGAAATGATGCTCTGCAGAACGATCTCGATGCGGCCGGGCTGCACACAGGGTGGGGTTCCTTGCCCGCTGGATTAATTTCCAGCCGCTGGCTCGGTGCCCCCGCAATTGAGTAAGCAATTCTGAGTTTGTACAATTGTTTGCGGGGTACCAGGATTACAAGAACAAACCCCACCGGCTTTTACACCTCATTCCGACGCTGTTGGGATGCCAGCCCGGCTGGGAGACAGCCCCCAGAGAGCTGAGCTGGATAGGAAAACCTCATGCTCTGCGGCCCAGGAACCAGCTCTCCCCCTGTCCACCCCGGGCGACTCACCTCCCACTCCTGGAAGATGCGGGTCAGGAAGGTGTATTCTCTAGCTCGGAGGGCCAGAAAATCAATCAGCAGCAGCACACACAGTGGGTCGTTCTCTGGATCGAGGCTTCAGCAGGAGGCGAGCACAAGGGGAGGAAACAAAAAAAAATCAGTGTCACAAGAGCTGGAGTAGCTGTCCTCGTTTCTAAGTCAAACAAGACCTTCCCACGAGCGTCCAGAGCTTCTGTGACTCAGCAAGAGGCGATAACGGGGACGGGACCGTTCCCTCATGGCCAGGATGACGCTGTAACACCCTGCCCGGGCTGTGTCCCTGCAGAGGGGTGACAGTCTCCCCGTCACCACCCGGGGAGGAAGATCAAGGGCCACAAACTGAGCAGGCTGGAGCCACCGTTGCACATCTGCTCCGCCGATACTCCGGGCTCTGTGGGCCAGCCAGGCCCCAGAGCAAGGGCCACCCCAGTCCCACGTGTTTAAGCCTCCTTCTCAGCAATCCCCTCTCTGCAAAGCAGCACCACAATTAAGAGCGCGTGCCCAAAGCTAACCGGTGACGCCGCAGCTGTAAGGAGTGGAAACAAGCCCTCGCTGAGCCTGGGAGCAGTGGGACATCTCTGGGGTTTCTGTCCCACCCGGGTTAGGTGCGGTGCCTTGCTTGAAGTGGCTTCCCCCAAGCCTGAGATGCCCTGCCCCATCCCACGGGGAACGGGGTGCAGCCCTCGGCGGGGGCACCTACCTCAAAATCAGCTTGCAGAACTCCAGGGCCGTCCGGGGACAGCCCCTCTTCTCCAGGAACATCAGGTGCTTGAAGAGAGCCAGGAAAAAAGCCCTGTGTGGGGAACAGCAGCAGGGGGATTAGCGGCCAGATTTGGAGAGAAGCACCTCAGGCCGCTCAAGAATGGGGGACACAGAGTCAGCCCCAGCTCCTCGCCCCCCAAGCACCAGCGCAGCAGCCAGGGGGGTCCAGGGAACCCAGCCCGGTGCAGTCCGGGCTGCCCCAGGCCCCCCACATTCCCATCTCTCTTTTTTTTTTTTTTTTTAATCTCTTTGCACAAGTATAGGGACAGCGAACCCGTGGCCTGCTTTGCAGACTGGGGCCGACAACTCAGACAACGGGAAGCACTAAATCCCCAAAGTCTGCATCCTGCCTTGTCCCAGCCCGCGCGGGGACGGTGACGCAGAGCGGGGGCACGACGCGAATCGGGGCGGGGGGGGGGGACACACACAACTAACACCCAAACTGGGCGAGACACGGGCCGCAGCGTTCAGGTCGCAGACAGTACGAAGCCCGTCAGCAAGCGGGTGCTGGAAATCTGAGCAACCTCCAGGTACAGCAGTTCGGGAGAGATGGCTTGGGTCAGCTGGCTGGAAAATTCCCAGAATAAAAAGTCACCTTTCCCCGCAGCTGCCGAGCTGTCGTTACGTAAAGAGCTGGGCCGGGAGCAGCGCGAGTGCTGGGGACAAAGCCTGGCACAAGTGCCCAAGCACAGCTGTAAAACACGCAGCCGGTGCCTCTGTGACAAAAACAAGTGCCATTTTAGGCTAAGGGGGTACTAGTTGCCTGAGAAGGACGTGTCGGGGAAGGAATAGCTCGTGCTCCAAGAAGAAATCCCTTGGGAAAGAGGACGCTCTGCAAAGAAACCTCAGTGCAAGAGCTGCTGGTGCCCCAGCGCCCACGTGCTGCCTCGCTGAAGGGCACGGCCACCGACCGCCAGAGCTTGTCCTGACCAAAAGGGACATTCCAGCTCCACCCCCCCCCACCCCCCAGCAGATGTCATAAATTCGGGTCTCCGTGTCCCACGCGGGCCAGGGGATGCCACGAGGGCTCCGGGGCGGCCGCGCTGGCCGCCTACCTGTTCTCCGGCCGCCGGTAATCCAGCCTGCAGGTCCCGCTGGTGAGGCTGAAGACGGGGTGGAAGGCGCACTCCAGGCTGTACAGCGCCCGCTCTGCGGGCAGCGGGGACAGCGTCAGGGCAGGCCACCGCCCCGGCACGCCCCGCGGCCCCCACCGAACCACCCGGCCCACCCCCCTAACCGAGAGCTCCGGCACTCATGAAACCAGCTCGTCCCCAGCCCAGCAACGCGCAAAGCTGCTTCACAGGACGTGGCTGCAGCGGATACACGGGCCACCGACAGCCCCGTCCGCGGGTGTTAGATCACGCTTCGAAAATTTCTTTTGGTGGAAAAAAAAAAAAAAAAAATAACTTTTCTGGGTGAAAAATAACTCCTCCGGGGGGAGGCTGGTACGGCTGCCTCTGCCACAACCACCCTCACACCGGGAAGCCAAAGATCCTGTCCTGGCTTCGCCTCTCGTCATGCTGAAAAGCACATGGCCCCCGTTACCAAGCAGCACAGACCACACCAGGCTGCGGCACAGCGGTCCGAGGGGCAGCTGCCTCCTGCCCCCAAGCAGAGGCCCCCCCCACACTGACCCAAAGGGTAGAGCAGGCCGGCCCGGAGGGCTGGGTGGGCTCCCCGCAGAGCTGGCGGGGTTCCTGGGGGGGCCCTCGCACTGCTGTATCGTGTAGCTACTAAATCAGACCTTCCTCCTGCCAGGGACAGCCCGCAGGTGGGACACCCCCCCCCCCCCCCAGCCACGTCCAGACAATCCCTCCGTTCATTTGGAAGGCGAACGCTAACGAGCTTTTGCCCCGAAGACACGTCCAGCTCTAAAAGCCCCCACCAAAAGCCACTGGTGTGCAGGTTCACAAAAAGCCGAGCGCTCACAGTCCCAGAGTCAAGGCGACCCTTCTGGCTCGCTGCTTCCCCGTCAGAACCCAACCGAAACGGAACCAAAAGCCCTCTGGTTACTAATTCACGCCAGCACATCTCCTCCTCACCTCAGCTCTTACCTATGAGATCACGGGCCATCTCCTGGTCCTCCTGCATCCGGCACACGTCGCTGAGCTGCAGAAGGGAGTCCACGTGGTACGGGTTCATCTGAAGCAGCAGCTACAGGAGAGCAGGAGCTCGGTTACACGCTGGCACAAATCGCCGGGTTCTCGCGCGCTTTGCCTACGAGGCAAGCCCCGTCAGCAGGGCAGGGAGGCAAAACAGAAAGGGGCTGCTCTGGCCCCTGGGTCTGCAGGTGAAGAAATCCTGCCTCGCGCCACCAGAGAGCCAAGCTCAGACTGTCGTGCGAGGCTGGGGACGCACCTCCCGCGGCAGGCTAAAACTGGGGAGTCGGAGAAAGTTAAGATCTTGCCCTGTCTCCAAGAGCAGACGCCTGGGGAAGAGGGCGCGAAGCTGGGCACACGTGAGGACGCCCAGCACGCTCTAAGCTGACAAGCTTTAGGGGTCCAGGGACACCCCTCACCCCCCCCCCAGCTGTCAAAGATGTCATTTATAGTAACGGTGCCTCCTCTCGTGAATTTGCTCGCTTGCTGACCCAGGCCCCTTGCCAGCACCCCAGCTGGGAGCTCTCCCCCCACCCCACGCAGGATCCTCGCAGCTTCCCTCGGGCAGCTCCCTGCCAGTCGACCCAGCTTTTCCAGCGCCGGGCCTTTGATCATCCCTGCTGCCCTCTGAATCTCGCCCAGCTCCACCGTACCCTTCTGAAGGCGAGGGCCCAGAACTGCACACAATAGTCAAGGTACAGGCAGCAGGCATAATTGCATTTTTGTTTTATTCTCTATCCCTTAACAATTCTGAGCATTTATTTGATTGGGCTTTTGCTTCCTGCGGACACCGCGAGGACGTTTTGATGCATCTATTACAATTCCAGGATCTAGCTCCTGAATTATAATGGATTAAAAATATTTTTTTCCAGGCTTCAGAATAGAAGTTTAACCACACCTGAAAAACCTCTGCATTACTCACTGATGATCCTGTACACGGGCTACTTTTTAACAAGTACCTAAAACACAGTTTCAATATGAAAATACTGAAGCTACTTCAAATCTCCTCGTAGTTTAGTTTTGGCATTATTTTTTTTTTCCCCCCAAACTGAAAAATAGAGCTTCAAAAGCTCCAGAAGCTGTACGGCTGCAGGGTGCTGGCCAGTGTGACCACCTACAGCACAAAGCCTTTATGTTCCAGGCTGCCCCAGGCCAGAGCCTTTGCCTCAGTGCCACTTGCCCAACGTTTTACCCCTTCCTTGCTTGCTCTTAAGTTCCTTTCTAGTCCTCCTTTTTAGAAGGGATGGAGCCCCCAGGGTCACTACGATGGGAAAAAGTGCTCTTCACACACTTACACGCTCACCAACAAGACCCTTTTAACCCCCTAGCAAGAGCAGAAAAAGCCCTCACTGAGCAAGGCCCCCCCCCCCCCCCCCCCCAAAAATAACATTTTGCATGCTGAAACCACAGCAGCAAGGCAGGTCTGGGCTCCAGCTACGTTGCAACTGGTTATCACAGATAAACTGGTTGCAGGTTTGAAGTACTTCTGGCGTCGGTGAACCCGTCTGTTAGATTTTACGCGTCAGAGAGAAGTGGAAGACTAAAGCTGTAGGAGTATCTTCAAACGTAGCCAGACCTACTTAACTGGGACAGAGCACAGCCTAAAATGTAGCAGGGAAAAGCCGTCCCGCTCTGCACAGCCACGTGGGACCGTGTTTGAGCTGTCCTTAGGACGCTGGCTCTCAGGCTGATCACTGCTCCACAGGAATTACCTTGCACTATTTAATGCGAACCCCTCAGTCCAGTCAGCAGGCAGAACTGATGAGCTGGAAAGAGCCGTGGCCATGAGCAGAGGGTGGGAGAGCAGAAGGAAGTAAACTTTATTTAGTAGACAATGGCCTCTTTAAGAAGCTTCTCCCGGGCACGTATCTGAGCTCATGTGGCCAGGGTTTGCAGAGCAAAAATACCTCGGTTATGGTTCAGTAGGGTGCAGAGCAATTTTACTGTTGCTTATCACTACAAACCACAAATGTTACTATACACTTTAATGAGCTTGGACACGCATGAAGAACTTTCAACACAAAGACTGTTTTGCTGAAATACCAAGAAAAGACATATTTTTGATCCATGCAAGAGTTTATAAATACAACAGCTGTTAGTTTAGATTCCCATTTAAAGATGGGTTTATACAGTATTTCCCCTTTCCCAGCTGAAGAGCCGAGACAAGGGAGCTTTATTCCTGCTCTTTCAGCCAAATGGTCAGGTCCTGCAGGCTCCTCTTCCAGATGGCTACCTGGCATGCTCTCGGGCAGAGCCACCAGCCACTGGACCTCCCTCCCACCAAGGTGGCCACTTGTCTCATTCACAAGGTGAAAGCAGAGCTCAGAAAGCACCGCGGCCTCGCCCCGCGTGGTGGGGGCGGAGGGTTCTACCGCTCAGAACGAGACTGGCAAAAAACAAGCACCGGGATGCATCTGCCCACCTCCCCTGCCAGGGCCGGGGGCTGCAGGAGGTAACAGCACGGGCAACCCAACGTCACGACATACCACAATGTTGTTGGGGTCCATGGACTCGACAGCGTCCAGGAACTTGAACTGCACTTGCTGGTACTCGCGATGGTGCTCGAACGTGAAGTGCTGCACTCCCCTCCTGGTGTCCACCAGCTGCATGGCAATACCTGGAGGGTGCACGGGGAGACGTGGGCACCGCTGCTGCCGGCCTGCCCACGCAGCGGCAAGAGCAGCTTCTTCTGCTCCCTTACCACGCAGAAAGCTCATTCGCATCACGGGGTGCCCAGTCAGATGCGTTTTCAGAAGCTCCTAGAGAACCCCACTCCATTCCCTCCGCTCTCGAGTCAAAGTCCAACACCCACCCAAGAAGCCCAGGCAGCTTGCCCTCCCCACGGATATTTCTCATTCCCCAGCCATACTGCTGTTAAGAAGGGAAGCGCTCATCACCCGCGACCTCTGATAAGTGGGGGAAAAAAAAAAAAAAGGCTCAAGCTCTACGATACGGCAGCGCTCTCCCTGTTGAGGGAGGAGGTATTCCCACCAGCTGATGAGCTGTTCCCCTTCTGCCTCAGCCAGCGTGAAGCCTGGGCCTGGCAGCTGATGAAAAGCAGCTCCAGAAAAGCCCAGCTGGCCGGAGCAGCCCCCCCCGGGCCAGCGCGGGCCCGCGGCACGGTGTTGGCTGGCGGTGGGAGGTGGCACCCAGAGCCTCACCTGTTTTGCTGTAGCGCGGCCAGGTGTTCTTGGGAGCCGTCAGCCACGTGCTGCGGACGTACTGGCGCTGCCTCTGCCTCGGCCTGAGGGAATAAACACGAGGAGTCACGGTTTCTCGGTACCGACAGAATGAGGAGGGCTGAAACCAGCCAGAAAAAAAAAAAAGGACAGTTTAGGGAAAGAAAAAAGAAAAAAAAAAAAAAAGAAAAAAAGAAGAGATCCAACGCTTTCCCCAGCTGCAGCCCTGCCACACAGAAATTTTGCCCAGAGCTTTAACATGTTTGCCTTTAAGACACAATCTACCTTCGCTCAGGCTTTGCCTTACTTGAACCATTCCTCTTTGGCCCAGCCGGTGCCTCCAGCATTTCCACTTCAATAGCTTCTCTCCCCTGTTTTTATTCCCGCCAAGTTCTCAGCTGCCTCTTTGTTTCAAACAGTTTCCCAGGTGCAATTAAGAGAGCTCCATAACCCTCTGACTCATCTCTCTTCCCAGCAGTGCCTTCAAATGTCAACTCATTGAGTTTAAGCTCTGCTCACAAATGCAACCGATTTACTGGTTCGGGGCAGGAGGAATTCAGAAATCGAGGCTATTCTAAGGAAGTCATGTCTCCTCAGCAAGGGACTGCTGCTTCTTCCTCAAGCACTAAATATTCTTCTACAGACTTCCAGAGGTGGCTTCTGCTTCCACCATCACTGCTCTGAGCTCATACCCTTCTTACATCCACATTCTTCAACCAGCTCATGAAAGTGGGGATTTTCTGGGTAACTGACCACAGTGCAATGGGTAACTGCACAGAGACCTCACACTCAAGCAGTAGGTTCCCTGAGCCCCTGAAAGCAAGTGCACCAGACTGCCTGGAAAGTATTCAGGGTCCCCTCTGTAAGACATCAGAGGCTTTGGAACAGCAACAAGAGACAAATGCTGGAGAAAGAAAAAAAAAAAAAAAAAATCTAAGAGTCTATGAATGGACTTTAGAAGGGTGTTTTGACAGTAAATGAGAGGGGAAATCAGCAGCCAAAAAGCAAATGCTAGCAAAAGCCTGGCGAAGTCTCACTCCCTGCCTCACACATACCACAGAAAAATATCCTCCTGTCCCAACAGGACGACTACTAAATGAGTAAGACACCCTGAACCCTGGATTCCCTGTCCAGGTGTGGCACTGGGGGCTCAGTAAGGTGTACCAGGGGAAGGAGAGAAACACTGACTCGGACTTTGGAAGGGTTTAATATTAAATTCTGGACTAACCTCTGATCACCAAGAACAGCGCGAGCTCCAAAGTATCTCTTCAACTCGTTCTCCGGATTCAAGTTTCTGAGAAGGTTGAAACAAGAAAGAAAAGCTACTGTCAGTTAAACATAACCAAAAGTCTCACACTCGTGTCTTCTCCATCAACACCAAGTGCTCTGTTCCTCAAACTGTCCCTGGCCAAGCCCCCACACTGTCACACACAGAGAAAGGAGACTAAAAATGGTCAGAATAGGAGGCACTGAAAGCCCTGCTCAAGCAGATGCATGCTTGCTTTGTGCTCTGCTCCAGAGACGACGCCGAGCTGGGGAATACTGCTGCTGCCCTCTCCAGGGTACTCCCAGGACAGCTTCTGTTCAGGAGAAACCTGGAAAACACGAGATGCCTGCTGCCGGGTCTAGCAGCAGCAGCCTGCAATCAGGGCAAGCTCTCTAACCCCTGCACGGAGGCTGGCAACGAATAAAACACAATTTTTTAATACAAAGATCTTGTATCGGAGCACGACAACACCTACATTGATCTAACATTTGGCCCAGAGAACGGAGGTGTGTTTGAGAGGGATTTCTCTCTGCTGACCTGTGAGAAGGGTTTGAAGAGAGGGAGTGGGAAGGCTGAGCTCTGGCTAGCCTCACCCACTCAGAGATTATCCAGCGCTCAGAGGTTTCTGATCAGTGTTTACTTGACCAGAGAAGTCACTGAAGTTTAAAGCCACCTCTAGGTAAACATTCTGCCTTTACTGCAGTGTCCCTGAACAGGCTGCGCCAGCAGCGAGCACCCACCAGCCTAGAATCAGTTTTAATGCAGCATGACTGGAGGTTTCAAAATTGGGACGGGTAACTCGTCCCAGCTCCAAGTTTAAATGTTTTCTCCAACAGCAGAAGGAGCTGCCAGTGTCTGCACCAGCCCAGGGCTCCGAAACATGCTGGATGCACCAGCCAACAGGCTCCCCTGTGTGATACAGGCCCAGATGTTACAGATAGTCTGAGGCAGATTCATTCTTCAGCTCTTGGGCACGCTCGGCACTTAAGTCTATTTTGTTGACAGTGACATGCCGGAAAGGTTACACAAGTCTAACTTGCTTTTCTGGTGAAATTAGCTCCTGGCACTGCTTGGCCCTCCTCGGAGGACAGCGCATGCTGTACCAGGGCCTGCGGCTCACAGCACCCAGTCTGAATGCAGCCGCTCACCTGGCCCGAATGGGATGTCAAAGCTTTATGCACCAGGGCTCTCAGCAGCTCTGCAGAGATTCTCCTACAGAGTCATGGCGTGTTTTAGGCTGGAAGGCACCTCTGGAGGCTAATCTGGCCCAGTCACCCACTCAGACCAGGCTTGAGAGCGGAGAATACCACTCACTGCTCAAAACCAAACACAGCTCTAAGAGCAGCAGCTAGAAACGGGGATGTGCACAACCATTAGCACAATCCCTTTCAAACAAGGTCCTGCATGCACGGCCAGATCATGCTGGTAGGCTCCCAACTCCCTTCCTCAGGGGAACGGATATCCCTGCAACGCCCAAGGCCAAAAATCAAGAAGGAAGCAAGCACTACCTGTGCTCTACGTAGAGCAGAGGCCTGCTGTCAGCGATGATTCCACTCTGGCTCTGCTGTGAGAGCCCACTGCTATCCTCAATCTTCTCCAGCAGACTGTCGATGTCTTCCAGGTCATTGTCTTCCTTAAGATAGGCACACGCAAAGACAAGGCAGTTATTACAGAATGAGTCACCGCAGCACACGGGTCACCCAGCAGAGATCACACCCAGCCGCCTCCGCGTCCTTCGGCTCATCCCGATCTCGACACCGGTGCAGCCCCTCGTACTCAGGCCGCCTGCTCTCCACTCAGCACCCTTACCCACCCAGAGCCTGCTCTCCCTGCCCAACGGCCCCTGGAAGGGCTGGCTCTGCTTCCCTGCTTGCTCAAGGTATCACAGGGCTGCTGCTCTTCACACCGTCACGCGTCCGAACGTGCCAGCTGAACGTAGGTAGCATGGGCAAGAGCTGGCAGGCTGTCCGGTCTCTGGTCTGCCCCTTCCTACCCAGCCTGTGCTGTGCATCGTCTGGTTTATCTCTACTACAATCCCTAGAGCATCATTAAACGTTGAGGTGCTGATCTTAATCATAAACATTTAAATAGTCAGCCTTCACTATCTACTTTCCACAGAAATGCTACATTACCACTGTTGACCCTTGTAGTAAGATATATCAAAACACTCGCGTGATTTTAACCCAACTCAAATGTACTGCACTCCTGCTTTCTCTGTCTTCTAGCAACCCAAGGAATATATCCAGCGGTGCGTATTCAACAGTTGTATAACATTTTTATCCCGATTTTCCTCTATTTTTCCCCCACAAATAGCAAGTGACGCATCTCTTCTGCGGCTGTTTCACATCCTCCTCATGATGTATGTGGGTGGAACATGGAATTCCATTCATGACACCCAAACAGCCCTGCGAGCTTGCCTTTTCCAGCTAAATATAGCCACTCCACGTGGAGTGGATACATGACAAGTTTATAACGTGCTTTGCATTTAAGTGCTTGAACAAAGGTGGTATTATCTCCAGTTGGCAAATCAAACTGCCTAGATCTGGGTAAGAAGTTTCCCGAGAGCCTGCAGCTGGCAGATGTCACCCTATTGCTTGCTATTTTTGGACTGGGAGAGGAAACGGGCTCTTTGATCGGGTTCCCTGCTGCAGTAACTCGCCCCGAGCTCGCCCGGCTGAATTCCCGGGGAGGAGACGGCCAGCCGGGCTCCCGCACCGCAGTCACGGCTCACCCGCTCAGCACTTCAGCATCCCACAGCTCGGGATGTTCAGCAAAGGTTCTCCCCGAGGGAATAGTTAAGACTCTTAAATCTTAACAGAAAATTTGTTCCCGCTTAACTTCTATTGAATTTAAAAGACCGATCCATTTAGTCTCCTAGCCCACCTCAAGCAGGTAACTATATTCAGGCATACATTCGTCTCTTATAGTTTTACCCAGCACAGACACTGGATAAAGTTTGCACTCCAAGCACACTTCCTTAGGGGTAGACAGCTCAGCCAGAGGTAATCACTGTCCCCTTGCTCCCCTCACCGCTGAGGGGCCGAACTCAGCGACGGCGCGTGGCTGCGCACGGGGGAGAAGGGACCGTGAACGAGGGCTGGCGGCGAGAGCTCGGCACGGCTCTGCAGAGCCCGGAGAGCTACCTAAGTAGGGCAAGGAAAATAGAATGAAAATGGAAAAATCCCTCCCCGTGCAAAGCCTCGAAGCAGAGATGAAAGGAGATGCCGCTGCGAGGATTTCAGCCCTAAGCATCTGCAGCAGAGCTGCGCCGGCCCCGGCTGCTTGAGGAACCACAGTCACAAGGTGCTGTTGACATTTCACAATTTTAAACGGGTACAATGCAAAAAGGAGCACTTTGGCCTCAAAGCATTTTCTGCAACCACCTCGGAGTTGCCGCTTTTTCAACCCCAAAGGGCAAATTAGCACAGTCACTAAATCTCAGAGCAAATGCAGACATACCAGAGTCTCCCCTGCCGAAGTTTTCTTGGTTTTCCTTTTCTTTTTTTTCTTTCGTGGCTTGTTACTCAACATAGGCTGCAAAGGGAAACGGAGCAGCTGTCAGAGCACGCCCACAGACCGCAGGGGTGAAAGCTCCATGGGGAGAAGAGCATTTCCCACAGGGATTGCCACGCCAGGAGGGCCCCTAAATGAAACAAACATCCATCCTTTCAAGTTTGTCAGCAAGCGGAAATTAAGACACATGGAGAAAATGGAGTAAAGCACCAAAGGTTTACAAATGTGAGGGTTAAACCTCATCTGACTTTCACATCAATGTCTGAGACTGCAAAATCAGGCAAGAGATGGTTTCGATATGCCCGGTGTGGAAGAAACGTTTCAGTCTCTAGGATAAACTTTATTTCTGTCCTTCTAGTGAGCACGGCAGTTTCATCAGTCGCTCCAATTTCCACAGAAAGCAACACCTGCCCAAAAGCACGCTGCCATACAGCCTCCTCTCGCTGCAGACGCAGCCACTTCAGCTCACGATGCTGCGTGGCATTCCTTAACCCGACAGGCACGCTGCTCTCCACTCTGCCCCAGGGCGTACAGAGCTAAAAAGCCCATTTCCAAGATTTACGCAGGCAATACAGCGAGGAACAGCGTTACCAGAACAACCCCGCAGCTCCCGAGCGGATTTCAAAACCAGGGGAACGTGCAGCCCCGACGTGGATCTATCAAACAGCAGGGAGATGCCTGCCGAGGGCTCCCCTTTTCTACTCGGGAAGCTCCGAGAAGAGCAGCAGGGCGACCCTGCAGAATTTACAGAATTCACTGGGTCAGGGCCCACCGGAGCCACCGCTCACACGGGGACCAGCCGAGCAGAGCTCACTCTGCACATCCAGAGTGTTCCCAAGCCCCAGGGCTGGCTGAGGCCACCAGCACTGCTGGGCCATGCACTGACAGAGGTCTTTGCTCCTCTGGCCACACTACCTGGCACCCAAACCCCACGGGCACACACCCCGAAGGCCGAGCCCTAACGGGTGAGGCCAGGGGGCCAATCTCCCTCCGCTCCCCCGACCCTCATCTCCAGCAAGGTATGAGCTAGACTTGCAACGTCCAGTTGTTAATTAAAACGTCCATTTCCTTACGTGCTTCCACAAGGAGACACATCTGAGCCAACACAGACCACAGGAGGGAATCTTAGCACAAAACAACAGCAAAACGCTACAGGGAAGAAAAAGTTCAGCATTTAGTTCATACTACTTGGGAGTCTTCACGTCACCCACTGCAAAACAAACACTTCCCTCACTTCACTGAGCATTTACCCACCAGCCCAGCCCCAGGCAGGGTGCAGATCTCGATTAATTGTGCAGCAAAGGGGGCAGAGAAGCAAATCAGAGCCCCCAGCTGCTTTCCTTCTCACGTGCTCCGCCTGACCGCAGAGCTCATGAGGACACAGCACAAGGTTTTCCTCGACAACCTTCCTCTCTGCAGCTGTAAAACCTCCCCGGATCCTAAGCACAAAGCCTAGAGCACCAAACTTCTCACTCTCCTCCAGATCTGGAGCCCCAAGCACTTGGGTTTAAGCTTCCTGCATGTCTCTCGCCCCTGAGGCTCACATCCTCAGCCTCCAACAAAACCCGGGCACAAGGGAAAAGGAAAACACTTGTCTGTCACCACAAAGCTCCTCAGCGCACACAGGGAGAGGAAACCTTCACTCCACACCTCACGTGGCGACCACCATCACTAAACCCCTGTGGTTTAGTTACCGTTTGGTCCGGCTGCTCTGCCTCCTCCCCATCTCTCTGCCCGTCGCCTTCAGTCTTTTCGGTTACAGCCCCTTCGTTGTTCCTTCCTGCTGCATCCCACCCACTGAGCCGGGCGGCCGCTGGCTCCTCGCCGGACGGCGGCTCATCCTCCGACTCCTCGGCGGTGATCTGCGCAAACAGACGGACAAGCTGCAGAGAGAGCCGGTGCGGGGCTGTGCTCTGCCCCCTCCTGCGCCCTGGGGGACTGAATTCCCCAGGGATCCGATCTGTTCCACTCCCACCTGCAAACGGGAAAGGAAAAGCGTCGCAGAAGCAGCGCGGGGCTCAGCTGCCCAAGCGGCTTCTCCAGGGCCACAGCGACGTGTCCAACGCATGGCGCAGCCGGCGGGAACAGGGCCCTGCCTGGACTCTGCTCTTCCTTGGGAAGAGCCTCCAAAACCAGACTCGCCTACGCTCACACAGCCAGGCCTTGGGGGAGGTGAGGGAGCCACTGGGGCTGGCCGAAGTGCCCGGAAAGATGAGGCTCTGTCACCCCCAGGACCCATCTGTGCCATCAGAACCCCCAACCTCCAGCACTGGGCTCTCACGGAGCTGGGAAGGTGGCAGGAACGTTCCTAAAACCAGCTGCACCCACTGTTTGACCGCCCCGATATTCAGACTCAGCTCTGACAACACCCCAACCCAGTCTCGCTCCAATCCCCTCCCAGTTCAGCCCCAGCTGCTGCCCCCTCAAGCCTCCCCCACCCCCCAGCTCCCTTCTTTTCTCACCCCCACGCTGAGTCTCCCTCAGTCACCCCCAGCCCCAGCCCCTCCTCAGTCCCACCCCCAACCCCCGACTCCAAATCACTCCCTCCCCCAAAATGCCACTTCAGTGACTCCCACCCCCCCCCACCATCCCCCGGGGCCACTGCCACCCAGCTTCCCTGATCCCTCCCGTCACCCCCCAACCCCCCCTCAGCCACCACCCCCAAATGACACACCCCCCCCCCCCCCCCTCACCAGCTCGAAGCGGTTGCTGACGCCGCTGCGGGACGGCCCGCGATGCCCCTTCGCGGGAGCGACCGCCGGTGGCAGCGGCGGCGTCAGCCCCTCCCTGCCGCGCTCAGGACCGGTGCCCAAGCCCAGCTCGCCCAGGCCGGGCTCCTCCTGGCCCCGCTGCTCGCCCCGCAGCCGCCGCAGGGCCCGTCGCGACATGGAGCGCACCCCCCCACCACCTTTCCCCTCGGCGACACACCGCGCCTGCGCAGTCCCGCCTCGCCCCATTGCGCAGGCGCGGCGCCCAGCGCCTGCGCAGATCCTCCCCGCCCAGCTCGTCTCACGAAGCTGCGCATGCGCGGGCACCGCCTCCCGGCTTTTTTTTTCCCCCCCACTGCGCATGCGCATCAGCCGACGGCACGCCTGCCCCTTCCCTCTGTACTGCGCAGGCGCAGTGCACAGCGAGCCGGGACCTGCTTCGCGCCCCACGAGAGCATCGCGTGAAATATGTCTCGGGGTGGCGTGGGATCACGGCGGGGCACAGCCCCGGGGACACGGGTGGGACCCGGCGTACAGCGGGGCGTGGACCCGGGGGTTGAGACACACAGCGGGGCTGGGGGTGTGGGAAGGAGGGGGGCGGGATTTTCCCACGCGCCCTGTGCGGGGTCACCCGTGGGGCACGGCTGGGGAGGTGGGCAGCGAGGGTGGCCGTGGGGAGGGGGGATGCCCACGGTCAAGGAGGCTGCGTTGGAGTGCAGGGGGGAGGCGGTGGGACACCCAGCCCTGACCACCCCCGCCACCAGCACCTTCCACCCCGGCTCCCCCACTCACCCACCCACCCACCCACCCACCCACTCAGGAACAGCCACACACCGCGGGGGCAGCCCAGCGGGTTTATTAGCCGGGGTGGGGGGATGTACAGAGCGGCCGTGCCAGCCCACGGGCACTGGGCACCCCGGCATGGCCGGCTTGGCACGGAAGCGGAGCTGGGGGCGGGGGGCGAAGGCTGGGGGCTGGGGGCACCCCACGGCAGGATCCGTCCCCCCGGGGGGGCGCCTGTGCCAGCCAGTGGCGGGGACAGGAGGGGCCAGCAGGCACCCCGCTGTGCCGCCGGTCCTCGCCTCCCCCTGGTCCGTAAGGTATATAAATATAGAGGCTGTATGTATACATCCTATGTATATATGTACATCGGGGCGGCCGCCAGCGGGGTCTGCGCTGGGACCCCCGCCCCCCCACCCCGGCCCCGGGACCCTCACTTGTGCCAGGAGTCGCCGTAGAGGGAACGGGCCTTGGCGGCGCGGCGGGGCGCGGCGTTGAGGACGGCCACGCTGCGGCGGCTGGAGCGGACGACGTCGGTGACGAAGCCGGCGCAGTCGCTGCAGACGTCGCGCAGGACGGAGCCCTGGGCGTAGATGTGGGGGAACTCCTCTTCCACCCGACGCCAGCACGTGCCCGGGAGCGAGCTGCGGCACGGGGGGGAGCCCGTTCAGCCCCCGCCCGAGGGAAGAGGAGAGCGGGGAGGAAGGCTCGGGGGGGGGGGGGTTGCGGGACTCACTGGAAGGTCTCCCTCCTCCACAGCGGCAGGGCTTTGGCCAGCAGCGAGCCCGGCAGGCTCTCGAAGCCCAGCGCGTAGACGGGGATGTGAGCCAGCTTCTTGGAAGGCATCTTCATCTGGCGGGTGTGCGGGTGTCAGGGTGGGGTGGGGCGGGGATGGGGATGGGGACGCGGTGACACCGGCCAGAGCCGGTCCCTTACCTTCAGGCTGCAGGAGCTGCAGACAGACCTGGGGACAGAGAGAGGCCGGTGAGCGGGGCCGTGGCGGGCACCCTCCCGCGGCCGTGGCGTGGCCCGGCGCGGCGCTCACCGCTTGCAGAAGAGGCACGCCGCCGGCCAGGAGAAGAGGGGGAACTTGGCCCTGCAGCAGCAGCAGACCTGCGGGCAGAGGGGGGTGAGAGCCGGGGGGCCGGGCGGGCGGCGCGCGGCCCCTCCGGCCCGAACTCCCACCTTCCCCTTCCGCAGGCTGCTGTACAGCTCCTTGCTCTGCAGGAACTTCTCCATCTCGGCCTTGACCAGCACCCGGCGCACGTTGATCATCTCCTCCACGGTGAGGGCCAGGCTCTCCACGGGGTGGCTGAATTCCTGCGGGCAAGGAGGGGAAACGTCAGCCCGCTCTGCCGCAGGGCTGCGGCACAGGACATGACCCGGAGCACCCCTGTGGTGTGGGCAGAACATCCTGGCACAATCAGAGCATCCCTGTGCCGTGGGCAGAGCATCCCGGCATGGGCAAAACATCCTGGCACGGGCAGAGCATCCCCAGCGTGGGAAGAGTATCTCTGGCACGGGAAGAGCATCCCTGTGCCATGGGCACAGCCTTCTGGCACGGGCAGAGCATCCCTGGCACGGGCAAAACATCCCCAGCATGGGCAGAGCATCTCCAGCACGGGCAGAGCATCCCTGTGCCATGGGCACAGCCTCCTGGCACGGGCAGAGCATCCCTGGCACGGGCAAAACATCCCCAGCATGGGCAGAGCATCTCCAGCACGGGCAGAGCATCCCTGTGCCATGGGCACAGCCTTCTGGCACGGGCAGAGCATCCCTGGCACGGGCAAAACATCCCCAGCATGGGCAGAGCATCTCCAGCACGGGCAGAGCATCCCTGTGCCATGGGCACAGCCTTCTGGCACGGGCAGAGCATCCCTAGCACGAGCAAAACATCCCCAGCATGGACAGAGTATCTCCAGCACGGGCAGAGCATCCCTGTGCCATGGGCACAGCCTTCTGGCACGGGCAGAGCATCCCTAGCACGAGCAAAACATCCCCAGCATGGGAAGAGTATCTCCAGCACGGGCAGAGCATCCCTGTGCCATGGGCACAGCCTTCTGGCACGGGCAGAGCATCCCTAGCACGAGCAAAACATCCCCAGCATGGACAGAGCATCTCCAGCACAGGCAGAGCATCTCTGTGCCATGGGCACAGCCTTCTGGCACGGGCAGAGCAACCCTGGCAAGGGCAAAACATCCCCAGCATGGGCAGAGCAACCCTGTGCCATGGGCACATCCTCCTGGCACGGGCAGAGCAGCCCCGGCACAGGCGGAGCATCCCCGTGCCATGGGCAGAGCATCCCTGGCACGGGCAAAACATCCTGGCACAGGCAGAGCATCCCCAGCACTGGCAGAGTGTCTCCGGCACGGGCAGAGCCTCCCGGCACAGGGCAGGCGGCACGGCGCGCCTCAAGCCTCGCCTCCCGTGCAGAGGAAGCGGGGGGAGCATGGGGATGCCCCTGGCCACCTTGTGCCAGGTTCACGCGGTGTCCCCAGCCCCACCACCAGCACTCACCAGCCAGAGGTGCTTGGAACTGGTGCTGGGGGCAGCGCCGGATCCATCCTCTGGCCTCTCCTCCACGGCGCTGAGGGCAGCCCGGGGTGGTGCTGAGCCATCCGGCAGCGGGTGGCAGCTGGCGGGGACGGAGCCTGCGGGGAGGGACGGGGAGGCCATGGCAAGGCCATGCTGCCCGGTGCCACCGCAGCCGCGGGGCCCGGCACGGCCACCCTGGGGACGGTGGTGGCACGGGGCTGGGGACCTCCGGCGGGTACCTGAGCGGGGCCGGGGCTCGGGCTGCAGCGGCTCCGGCTCTTGGGGTGCAGCCTGGCCGCCCCCCAGTTGGCTTTGCAGCTGCGCCAGGTCCTGCTCCGAGAAGGAGCGGTCCCGCTTCAGCGGCACCTCCGTGCCCGGAGAGTCCTCCTCCTGCAAGGCCACGGGCACCACGTCACCCCTTTGTGTCCCCCAGCACCTCCCCTTTGTGTCCCCCAGCACCTCCCGCGTCCCCCCCCCCAGTCTCCGCTGGGTCCCCTCTCTTGCCTCGGAGACGTTCATCTCCTCCATCTCGGCCAGGGTGGGTGCCTTGAGCAGGACGCGGGGCCGCGGGCGCGCCGGCGCGGTGCTCGCCGGGGTTCGGGAGAGCTCGAGGCAGGAGCTGGAGGCCAGGCGGCCCGAGCAGGCGTGGGGGATGCAGGGCAGGGAGCTGTACCCTGCAGACGGGGACGGGGCTCAGTCCCGGCACAACAGGGACCAGCCACGGCGCCGAGCACAGCACCGGCAGCCTGGCATGGCGGGGAGGGGGGATGCCGGTACCTTTTTGGCCACGGTATGACATTTCCACGGGCCGAAGCTTCCTCTCCTGCCTGATCTCCTCCAGGATCTTCTCGTGGAGCGTCCTCTGCTTCTGGGGCAGGGGCCGCAGCCGCCGCTCCGATGCCTGCGGGACGCACGGACTGGGCCTCAGGCGGTGGCCGCAGTGCGGGGGGCACAGCACCCAGGGGGACCCCCAAGCCCAGGTTGGCCACAGAGGTGTCACGGTGGCGGCACTCGCCTGCTTCAGCGGGGGCCGGGAGCGGATGAAGTCAAGGATGAGCTCGTGGGCATCCTTCTTCACCCGGGGAGGGATGTCTCCATCCACCTGGGAGAGGGCAGAGGGGCTGGGGGTGGCATCGGGGCTGGCGGGCACGCGCGGCACCGCGGCGTGGGGCCGGTGCGAGGGCAGCCCGGGCGCGCTCACCATGACCTTGCGGAGTTTGTAGTTGCGGGCGCGGATGTCCTGCATGAGCATCTCGAAGGGGGTGAGCTGGTACTCGGTGGGCAGGGGGTCGAACTGCTTCTCCTGCACCTTCTTCAGCTTCACGCCGTGCCGCAGCTCCCGCATCAGCTGCACCCACAGCCGGGCCTGGGGAGAGGTCGGGGTGGGAGGACGGACGTGGCAGCAGCCCCCTCCCCACACACACACACACACAGCCCCGGCATGGCCCCCGCGCCGCCCGTACCCAGTCGGTGTTGCGCAGGCTGCCCAGCTCCGCCGCCGGCCGCTCCTCTGCCTCCTCATCCTCCTTCAGCTTCTGCAGCATCTGCCGCGGCACGAGGCACCGTCACCCCACGGCACCCAGGGTCCGGCCAGGGCCGCGCAACGGGGCTGCAGCACCCCCAAAGCACCCCCATCCCCACCAGCACCAGCCTGGAGCCGACGGTGCCACGGCACAGCGCCCCAGAAAAGGGTGTATGGCCAAACGCCGGCGCCGGCAGCGCTGGTTGGGGCGGGCAGAGGGGAGCACCGCGCTCACCCCGGTGTTTTGGTCCCATGGGTGGTTTTCCTGGCCGGGCAGCGGCGCCGGCCACGCTCACCTCCTTGGCATCGCGGATCTTGGCGAGGAAGGCTTTCAGCTCCACCGTCTCGGCGAAGAGCGCCCGGCAAACGGCCTGGTAGTGTGCCTGGGCCTCGGCGGGGTCGGCCAGGCGAGCGGCACAGCACCGCATGGCCTGCCCGAAGGTGCGCACGGCGCGCGGCGGCCCCTCGCCCCCCTCCTCCTCCTCCTCCTGCCCCCCGTAGCCCTCGTCGGCTGTGGCGCAGCCGCTGTCCTCCGAGTCGCTGTTGGTCATCAGGTCGATGAGCTGCTCCAGCCGCGGGCTCAGCTCCCGCTCCTCATTCTCATCCAGCCCCCAGTCCAGCGCCCGGTAAATGGCAAAGCCCAACGACTGCACCATCTGCGGGGACGCGGCACCGGCTGGGCCCCGGCCGCACCCCCGGGAACCCCTCGGCATGCTGCACCCCTCCCCGCCCCCCCCCCCCCCCCGCCTCCCAAATCCTTGGTGCAGGGTCCTGCCCCTCCACTGCACCCCAGAACCCCATAACCAGCACCCCAGGGTGAGGGGGGCTGGCGGGGGTGCCCACCCCATGCTGGGGTGTGATGGCAGACGGGCCGGGTCACCAGTAAGCTGCGGTGGGGTCCGGCCCCCACGTACCTGGGCTTCGGCGGAGGGCGTCAGCAGCGGGGGCAGCTCTGGGGGGAGGAGGGCAGAGTCACCACCGCTGGCACCCATGGCCCCGCGTCGGGCATCACCACCCATCCCACACCCCGGGGATGCTGCACCCACCTGGCCCTGGCCATGGGGCACCTAAGGGGGCTGCCCCTGAGTGGGTCCCAACCCCAGCAGCTCCTACCCCAAACTGGGACCCCCCCCTTCCCCACCCAGTCCCATCCTGTGCTGGTCCCAGGACGCAGCTCCATGGGATAACGGGGACCGGACCCCAGTCCTGAGCGGTGGCGGCGGGCAGCGCCGGCTGCGAGATGGTGGCGCAGCCTCTGTTGCCCTCCCTGCCCGGCCAAGCACAGCAGGCCCTGGGCTACTAGCCCAAATGGGTGCTGAGCCCCACCGCCTCCGGCCAGGCCCGGGAGGCACATCAGGGCTGGCGGCGTCACCCCTTTAACCCTCACCCCCGGGCCTGGATGGAGCTGAAAGCTCTGCACCCCCAGGGAAATGCCCCCCTGCACCCCTCCGGGCTGTGGGCACCGGCACGCAGGGGTGCGGTGAGGACTCGCCGAGCACCCACGGGACATGGCCCGGGTGCCCGGTGCGGGCTGCGGTGCCGCGGTGTGCCCAACAGACGGTGATGTTTGCCACTGCAGAGCCAGCACGGGCTGGGCATCGCCCGCACGGCACCGTGCCCACACGCACACACGTGCGCCCGGGACACGCTTGTGGGCAGCTCAGACCCTCCCAGCAACCGGACGGCCACGGAATGAGGAACGGGAGTGGCTTTTGCAGTGTCCCCAAGGCTTCCCGGCCCAGGGCAGCGCCGGCCATCAGCTCGCCATTCAGCTGACCGAGGTGTGTGTCAGCCCCGTGCCCGCCAGCCCACGCACGGCACCGTGTGTCCCCACGCCGTGCCCGGCTCCCGCCGCGGTGCCAGCCCCGGGATGCTCTGCCCTGGCTGGGAGAGGACATGGCAGCACATCCCCCGGGGACGCCGACACCCTGGAACACCCTCACACTGAGCGTGGCTCGGCAAACACGGCGGGAGCCGGGCCGGTGGGCTGAGCCTGGTTGGTCCCAGCGGTTCCCTCCAGCCGCTCCCACGGGATGGGGAATTGGGGTGGCTCAGGTGGGTGCTCTCGGCACACCGGGCCCGGATCCAACCCCGGGCCCGGGTGGAGCTGCCGAGCCGTGTGCCAGCCCGGTGCCACCACCCGCAGCGGCGCTGGGAGGTGCCCGGAGCCCTTCCAGCTTCCAGTTTCATCCCTGGGGAGATGGCTCAGGCTGGCCCGGGAGGGACCTGGGAGCAGGAGGTGGCGCGGTGGCACCGGCTCCGGCACTGCAGCCGTGGTGGCTCAGGGAAGGGCGTGGGGCCATTCCCGTGTGTTACTGGTGGAGCTGGTGTGACCACGCCATGCCCAGCCGCCGCGCTTGTGCGTGGCCCTGCCCCGGGCACCAAGCGCCCTGTTCTCCCCGTGTCCCCTGGCTCAGCTCCGCGCTCGTCCCTCCGCCACCAGCAGCGTCCCCTGCCCGGCCACCGGCAGCGAGGAGACACCGCAGTGTCCCCTCCCGGCCGTGGGCAAGGACAAGCAGTGCCACTGCAGCATCCCTGCCCGGCCGGGAGGCTCCGTATCACCCGGCAGCACCGGGTGCCGTCCCCGGCACACCGGCCTCCCCGCGGGGCCAGGCGGGTGAAGCCGTCAGCCGCGCTCTGTCGTTGGGCGCCGGGGTGCTCCTCGTCACGCCGAGCCACCCGGCACGGCTGCTGGCAGCCGGCCGAGCCTAATTACAGCTCATAACCACCGCGGCCCTGCCCGGCAGCGCCAAGCACCTGCAGAGAGGGCACGGCCGCGAGTCCGAAGGTCAAGGACGGCGCTGCCCCAAAACGCTGCGGGGGGGGGGGGGGACACAAGGGCGAGGGCCACGCTGGTGCCTGGTGGTGACACACCAGGTTGGGGATGGGGGTCCCTGCGGGGGTCTGAGTGCACAGGCGTGTTCAGGCGTGTGCGGCGGGCGTGCCCGTGTGTGTGCGCGGGCGTGTGTCCTCGTGTCTGTCTGTCCTTGCCATGCGTCGTGCCCGCCCTGAGTGGGGTCGGTGTCCTGCAGCCCTACAGTGGGTCCTGGGTCCCGGTGAGCCCCGCACCCACGGGCAACCCCGCACGCCCCCCACACCCTGGGTTCAGCCTCACCGGATCACCCCACCAGGCCCTGCCGGTGCCGGTGCCGGTGCCGGTGTCACACCAGCCCTGGATCCCCGCGTCACCGGCCCACCACCGTGTCGGTACCCACAGTAACCGCGACGATCCCAGCCGTGCCGGTGCCGATGCTGGTCCCCCGTGCCAGGGCCAGGCCGTGGGGTTCACCTCCACCCCTGCTGGTCCCAGCCCCGCTCCCCCCCCCCCCGCCCCCCCAGTGCCGGTGCCGGTACCGCCCTTCTCCCCCATCCTCCCCGTTTCTCCGGTGCCCCGCCTGCCCGCCCCCGCTTTGCCGGTACCGGTTCTTCTCCCTTCCCTTTGCTCCCTCCCACCGCGGCCGTTGCGGGTTCCCCCCCCCCCCGCCTCCTCCGCCGCCATCCCCGGTCCCTCCGCGCCCCCGCCGCTTCAGCGCCCCCTGCCGGTGCCGGTAAGTCCCTCCCGGTGCCGGTTAAATCCCGATGCCGCCTGTGCCGGTGGCTCCCCCCCACCCCCCCCCCCGCCTCCGCCACCTCCCCTCCCCGCTCCAAAAACGTTACGGCGACGGCTCACCGGGCGGCGGCGCGGGGAGAGCGACGGTGCCGTCTCCGCGGAGGAGGATGTCGGCGGGGCGGAGCGGGGCGGCGGCGGCGGCGGCGGCGGCGGCGGCGGCGCGGCAGGACTGGAAGCAGAGCGCCCAGGCCTGCTCCTCGTTCAGCGGCTGCTCGTAGCACTTCAGCACCTCCTCCAGGGACAGCTCCCGCGGGGCCGCGCCGCCCGCCCGCGCCATCGCCCCATCCCCGCCGCCGCCGCCGCCGCCGCCGCCGCCGCCGCCGCACGGGCGGGCGGGGCCCCGGGAGGGGCGGGGGGAGCGGCGCGGAGCGGAGCGGCGGAGAGCGGAGGCCCCGCCCCCCCCGCCGTGCGGCCCCGCCCGCGCCAGCGCCCCGAGCCCCGGCGGGGCGGCGCGGTACGGCTCGGCACGGATCGGTACGCGCGGTGCGGCGCGGTACGGCTCGGTACAGCCCGGTATGGCTCGGTATGGCTCGGTACAGCCCGGTACGGCTCGGTACGGCTCGGCACAGCCCGGTATGGCTCGGTACGGCTCGGCACGGCTCGGTACAGCCCGGTATGGCGCGGTACAGCTCGGCACGGCTCGGTAGAGCCCGGTACGGCTCGGTACAGCTTGGCACAGCTCGGTAGAGCCCGGTATGGCTCGGTACAGCTCGGCACGGCTCAGTACAGCCCGGTATGGCTCGGTACAGCTCGGCACAGCTCGGTACAGCTCGGCACGGCTCGGTACAGCTCGGCAGGGCTCAGTACAGCTCGGCACGGCTCAGTGTAGCTCGGTACAGCTCAGCACGACTCGGTACGGCTCGGCACGGCTCGGTACAGCCCGGTATGGCTCGGTACAGCTCGGCACGGCTCAGTGTAGCTCGGTACAGCTTGGCACGGCTCGGTACAGCTCAGTAGAGCCCAGAACGGCTCGGTACAGCCCAGCACGGCTCGGCACAGCTTGGTACAGCTCAGCACGGCTCTGTACAGCCCGGCATGGCTTGGCATGGCTTAGTACAGCCCAGCATGGGTCAGTACTGCCCAGCACGGCTCGGTACAGCTCAGCACAGCTTGGCACAGCTCTGTATAGCCCAGCACGGCTTGGCACAGCTTGGCACAGCTCTGTATAGCCCAGCACGGCTTGGCACAGCTCGGCACAGCTCTGTATAGCCCAGCACGGCTTGGCACAGCTCGGCACGGCTCGGCACAGCTCTGTATAGCCCAGCACGGCTTGGCACAGCTCGGCACAGCTCTGTATAGCCCAGCACGGCTTGGCACAGCTCAGCACAGCTCGGCACAGCTCTGTATAGCCCAGCACGGCTTGGCACAGCTCGGCACGGCTCGGCACAGCTCTGTATAGCCCAGCACGGCTTGGCACAGCTCGGCACGGCTCGGCATGGCCCGCCCAGGATGGCAGGGTGCAGGGTCAGGGTGCAGGGAGTGTAACTGGGTGCAGGGTGTGGGTGCCCCCAGGGTGCGCGGCAGGGCCGCGGCTACGGCTCCTGCTCGGAGCTCCTGGCTCCCAGGCGACTGCCCCACGGAACCCACGTGCCACGTGTGGGGCAGGCGGGTGTGGGGAGACGAGGGCCGCGGGGGTCACCTGGGGGAGCCGGCAGAGGGAAGGGACCAGGCTGGGACAACAGAACTCCCCGGGAGGGAGGGAGGGAAAGGGAAGAGCTCCGGGAGCTGGAGATGGTTTGGGCACGGCCGGGAGCAGCTGGAAGGGCCGGGATGAGGAGCCGGAGTCTCCGGGGAGACAACGTCCCATGGGAACAGGGTGTGGGGGGACAACGTCCCATGGGAACAGGGTGTGGGGGGACAATGTCCCGCAGGCACCCGGGAAGGCCGGCGTGACACAGTGCCCAGAGCAGGCTCACACCCCGGGGACCTGTGGGGCGGGCAGGACAATCCTGGCAGAGCAGAAAGGACAGCCAGCCTGCACTTAAAGGTCAGGTAGGGCTAATTACAGCTCTCGGCATGATGAGCTTCCCATTTCCATGATGGAAGGAGCATAAAACCCCGTCTCAGCTCCATTAATCCATGAGCATAAACTGGGGACAATCCTGGAGCCGTGCTGGCAGGGCTGGGAGAGGGATGGAGCCGGCACGGCCAGAGAGCTGCCCCGGGGTTGGAGACCTTTGGCAAAGAGCCTGGGACGGTGCCTGCAGTGCCATGGGGGAGAAATGCACTCCAACGCCCGTCCCGGAGAACCTGAGCAGTGTCAGCTCCCTTTTTTGGGGGAAGAAAACGGGAGAACAGAGTCAGGCAGCTGGGAAACGCAGCCCTGCGCGGCGCCCCGGGGTTTGGGAAGGGAGGAGGATGGCTACAGGTGACCCCAAGGGTCTGCACGTCCCTGGGATTATCCAAATGCACCATCGCACGGACAGAAAAGCCGCCCGGCTCTGCCCGACCGGAGCAGCTCCGGGCTGCGACGCCGATGTCTGGGTCCGGCTTTCCGCCCCGCCGAGCGAGAGCGATTCGGACGCGCCCGCTTCATCCGTGTAACCAGCATTGGGACCCGCTCGGGAAGCGAGTTTTGAGGGAGGAAAGGTGCACGTGCTGCTCGCCGAGCCGGCTGCCAGCTTTCCAGCGCCGAGGGTGCCTGCGGACACAGCCAGGGCGGCACCGCCGGGGGTAGGAGCGGGGAGGACGCGCGGCGTTGGGGAGGCGGCGACGACCCAACCGGCAGGATTAATGGGAATGGATTTGAATTACAAAGCGCAGAGCCCTTTGCTCTGGGTAAAACTGTAATTAATACGAAATCAAGATGTAATTAAAAGCTACCGCCTTGGAAAAAAATCAAACAAAAGCCAAGCGTGTATGTGCATAGGGGAAATATAATTAAAAATGAAAGAAATAGGGAAAAATAATACAAAAAAAAAAAAAAACAACGAACAGGTTGGGAAATGCAGAGCACTACGGGAGGATTAGATTTCCCGGCGCCCTGTCACCCTCGGCATCCAAGCAGGATGTGCCCCAGCGAGACGGCCGAGGAGCCGCGATGGAGGGCCGGGCCCTTCCCCGTGGGCTGCGTGCCGTGCGCCGGGTTCGTTCGCAGGTAACACGTTCACATGGGTTTCGTCTGTCCTATGCAAAAAAATGTCCTTAAAAAGCCACAGGGGCCCGAGCTGAGCGCACAGAGCACCCGTGGGGTTGGATGCACCCATCCCGCTTCCCTTAGATCCTGCAATAAACTGGGGGGCAAGAGGGAGGGGAGAGTGTTTTATGATGTGGCTCGCTCTCGCTACGTGCTGGCCTCGGATGCGGCCGGGGGTTGGAGGAGCTTCCCGGCGTCGCTGCCTGGAGTGCAGCCCCCAGCCCTGGGCAGCGATGCCGAGCGCTCGGCGGCACCTCCCTGTGCCCCCCTCGGAGGGTTTCTCACCAGTTTGGCCATCACAGTGATGGTTCCCCCCCTGTTTTTGCTTCGGTCAGACCAGAGATGAGTCCCTGACTCTGCCCGGTGTAATGGGCCACTCGCTGCTCCCAGACATTCTTATTCCCCGAAATGCCCCGGCCGGCCCCGAGTCAAGCCCCAACCCCGGGACCGGCACTTTATTCTCCCCGAGGGGGCTGCAGAGCCCTGTCCTGCTGCGTTTGCCACCGCTGCCTGACACCTCGGTCTCCTCTCCACATGAATAAACATCTGGAGCACCCCAGAAACCCCAGCTCCAGGTCAGACAGCCGGCCAGGGCCCGTCCCTTGGCAGGAGCACGTGCGCCCTGACCCACGCGCGCCCCCGACGAAAGCAATGGGGTCTGTGAGCACGGCGGCCAGCCCTGTCCTCAACTGGAACCGAGGAGGACCCGGGACACGGCCGAGCCCGTTGCTGCCAGGCAAGCTTGGCTGACGGGTGCGATGCTTGAAGAGATCAGGCCGGATCCTGCAAAGCCTTGAGGAGCCAGTTTTATCACAGAGGTGTCGGGGGTTTTGCACTCCTCGTGCCCAGGTGCGAACAGCCAGGCCAAGGCTTTCTCTGAACAAGAGGAGGCAGCCCGCAGGGTTTCTGGCCCCTCTCCCGAGCTGCCAGCCCCACGTTACTGCCGCTGGGTCGCATCCTGCTCCCGGCGCAGCCGTACCCCACCCTGCTGCCCAGCACAGCCGGGCTCTGCCAGACCTGCCCTGCTGCGGGAGGAGAGCAAGGCAGAGGGATTGAATCACAGAGCGCTTGCTAAAGCTCCGTTTCCTTTCTAGACTCTTCTTCATCAATATTTTAATTAAAATCAATTCTCTGCGCAGACCGCATTAACCCGGCGTACCTCACAGACAACGCATTGAAGGATTAAATAGAGCAAGCGCTTTGCAGGCCAGCAAGCCAGTGAGGGGAGCAGAGACCTGCTGGCAGTGTCGATAACGGAGACATTTACTGTGCCACTGGCACCCGTGGGCGGTGGTGTCCCTGGCCCACAGCGAGAGCCCACACAGACGCGGGGCTCTGCGACGCACGGGACACGGGTACCAGCTTGTCTGCCGTGAATCAGGGACGCTCAGGGAGGACGGGGCAGGGGACACCCCGGTAGCACCCCTGGGGTTCCCCGGTGCCGACCTCAGAGCTCACAGATGAGGTGATTTCCCCTCGCCTCCAGCCGAGATTACCCTCCCTGCCCCATCCCACGCCCTCCTCTTTATCTCTTTGTACCTTGCTACATAATTCCCTTTCTTCTTCCCTGCTTATCTCAGAGATGTTTGGAGGCAGGCCCTTCCCTTCCCGATGCAAATATTTCATTCTATTGCAGGTGAGTCCTTCCGGCTTTTTAATCACGTTAATTACTGGCTCTAACCTCAGTCGGCCTCCCCTCAATTCCTCCAGTGCCGACCCCCAATCTGACTCAGCGCTCCCGCTCCCCTCGGAGCCTTTTCCTCCCGGCTGCGCCTTCCCAGGGACAACACGGAGGTCCCACGTCCCACAGCCCTGCTCCCACCCGTGTCCCCGCTCCCTCAGCTGTCACCCCGCGTAAGGCCATCCCCACCATCTGCAAAACGAGCCCCCTGCAGATTTTCTCCACCCCCCCCGCCCCGGCAGGGTTGCTGCAGGAGAGGTTTCGATTTGCTTTGCCGGCTCGGGGCTCCCCCAGCTCCCCAGCCAGCACCGGAGCTCGCCGAGCCGCCCAAGAATGGCTCCCACATTTGATGTGCCCTTCCAAAACCCGGGGCTGCCACAAACATGACGATGGCATCAGGGTTTTAAAGCGATTCGGAACCACGATTCTGGGAAGGGTTGCGTTCGCCGTCTCCGAGCTGAGATTCGGTGCTGTGGTGACTTCCCGGCGCGGTGGCCGTGGGAGCCCATCGCACC